AATAGATAGCTCAGGGGAGGGAACAGAGAAGGGAATGCTATTTTGCGGGTTCAGCGGGAACCTGTAAGACCTCGAGTTCAAAGTCACTTTGTTGTTAAGAGCTTAGCTGGAGGTCTCTCACCCTCTTGGCTGTCAGAGAGCGACAGACTCTCCTTGTAAAAGTGATATCTGATCTCAGCAAGATCATTTGTGCAGATTAAGGCCAAACTTGAGAAACATAAAAGAACAAACCTTGAAGGTAGCCGCCAGGCAGGAACACAAGGATGTTATATTGCTGCAGAGACATCGGAGCTCTCTTAGAGCTTCATTAGATACATACAGGGAGTAAAGTGGAGACAGAGCCCAGCGAGAATAATACATAACCGGCTGCGTTCCTGCATTGTATGTTACCTGCAATGGAACACAATTGAAATTCAATATTTCGAATGCGATCTCAGTTTGTGTGCATTTTTAGTAGTATTACCACAATAAAACGCTAAAGATTTGTACTTAATCAAGAACCACAATTTTTTTCTAACCTTGTCCTAAGTGCTTTTTTTTTTATGCCTATATTTTTAAACATGCAGGATTCAGAATGTAAACCCGATTCTTAAGCAGACACCTCCCTATAACTCCAATGCAGTTCTTAAATGTTGCACCAGTAAACATTGAGGCAGTGATTTGTTTTCTTCCCACAATTTAAAAGAGGACAGTTTTAGAAGTTACAGTATTATTGATTCAAGGAATCTAATACAAAAAAGAACACTAAAATAAAAAAAAAGGCAAAGTAAATCCCACAAATATCAAAGGTAATAAGCATTGATATATAAGCTGACATATTTATCTTATTTTTAAATCACTATTTCTTTTGAGGCCACATGTTGAGCTGTGCTTGCTGTTCATGGGAATATGGTAATATTTGACCTTTGGATGAATACACAATGTATTGATTTATTGAAATGGAATCATTTATATAAGCATTTGTACCATATGCCGTTTCATTTAATGTTGACCTACACAAATGTGCAGTACATACAGATTATAACAACTGACATACTGTACAGCCTTCTATTCACACTTGTAAACTGTAGATACCTCTGTTCAACAAACCTTTTGACCTTTTTCTGACATGCCTGACATGCACTTCTCAGCAGCAGACCAATTACAACCATCTCATTTCTTTCTCCGTTCCTCCTGCTGTCCATCTTCCTCCAGACAATCAGAAAAAGGCTCTTCCACCCACTCCTTCCACCACTGGCTTTTATTTCTTCTTCTTGTATTTCATTCCCTCTCCTCCTCCTCCTCCTCCTCCTCCTCTCCTCCTCCTCCTCCTCATATATTGCGCCTATTTCTTCAACATTGCTTCTACTACACTCTCTTTATTAATCTGCTGAGCACCCCTGCCACAACTCTTCTATTAATAGTAGTCATGGGATACAAACCCACAGTGGAGGAAGTTGAGAAAAAATAATTTGAACAAGCTCTGAGGGGAAGAACTGCATGTGGGAGAAAGACGAAGGAACAATGGTAACAAGAAAAAAACTATCCTGTTCCTAATTAGATGCTCACCAGCTGTGTGTTTTTGCATTTAAAGCAGGACCAGTGGCTCATTAACAACCTAACAACTAATGATTGTGTTAACATACACTAACAAGGGTACAACTGCATAGTTCAACTTTATACATCAATCTGAAGAGGAATCAGCAACCTTGACATACATTTAAAATACCAAACCAGTCAATCCTAAAATGAAGTAGAGTTGAATCCCAGATTAAGTGCATGTTAAAGGGTGTTGCACATACTGTACATACTATGTTAAATGTCTGTTCCCTTGCTTCTTGCCTTCAATATTTGATGCTGTGCTGCTTTACGAAAAGTCTGACTTTGATCTGACAATAAAGTAGTATGATATCGTAATGTACTACAAGAGGCATTTTAAAGTGGAGAGAAAACTGGGGAATTATTCAAATCTTATTTTATTGAAAATAAGTCATTTTGAACTCATGACCATTGTTGTTTATTTTTGCTCGGCTGCTTACTGTACATGTTGATCACTGCGGGATCAGAAGGGTCTCCAACAGTCCAAAAGATCCTGCATTAAAGACTACTTCTTTTGTTTTTGATCATAAAAACACAACAAAGCCACTTGTTTCTTGGCAGTAAGTTAAAGCTTTCTGAGAGCTAACACTGCTTTCCAATAGTGCTTACACTGTCCACCTTTCAGCCATAAGGACACAGCTTTAGGCAAGTTAGCTTTAAGACTTTTTGTATGTTAGAACAATTTCAGGCAAAATGTTCCCATTATGTATATCTGCCACCACCATTTTCTCAGATTTGACAATGCCCATGTCAAAGCAATGTTTAGGTGTTCTGTCAAATTATTTCAGACTTGTTTATCAAGTAATGCCTGATTTTAAGATTGAAAAATTCAATGACTTTTCAGACTTTTAAGAATCTGCAGAAACCCCAGTTTTCCATCTCTCCCTTCTATTACTCTCTCTCTGTGCCCCAACTCTCACTCACATATCTTTCTCACGTACATGTTTTGCATCTGTTCATTTTGAAACAGGAATAAAACACTTGCTTTGCATTTAATGTTGATCTGCTGTTCAGGTAACAGAGCTTGTGACCTCTCCCATGGGGCTTTTGACTAGCCCACTTCCTTGAAAATACTTAAATATACAATATTTTGTCAATTACCTATAACATACTGTACAGAGATATTTATTTTTTTCCATTTCGCCCAGCCCTGCTGTACAGGACACTAGATCTCCAGATATGTGAAAGATGATATTATGAATTCTAGTGCAGATCTCTGACTACACATTTACAAAGGGTTACTCTCCATACATAATGCACATGCAGTCCATGTATCACCGCAGGGCCCCTGGATATACCACACATGTATCCACCTAGGAGCTCTGACCTTGTGTGACCGTAATACCTGCAGGTTTGAGATATCTCCAGTAAGCCACTCACCTGTTGACTTCACAGCTTATTCAGTTTTGTATTTTACAGAGCGCTTATTGTGAATAATCTCTGCTCGGGTATCAGTGCCAACGTCGGCAAAGCAAAAACCTTCACATATGTTAATGTGTAATTACAGAGTTTCTAATTCAGATACAAAGGGCACGTGCAAAAGCTGTCCCATAATGCTGACACTGTAATAAGTGTTCGGAAAAAGAGCTGATATATAGCCATTGTGCTGTTAATTGTCTTTCAATATGCTCTATGGCTTTAAAAAAGTTCATTACTGCTTTTGCAGCATAAAATAAGAGGTCATTCTCTGTTACAATATACATGCAAAATGTAAAAGGACTATCATTGGGTTTTGGTTGCCTGGAAAATAAAGCAATTTGCGCTTGTCAACTCTTAAAAAACTTGACTGGCATCTCTGAACAAAATAAAAGATTGAGCTCATAACCATTTCATTTTGATTGCGGGTAACAAGGTAGCCCATCGAGTAGAGCCCCATGTAATTGTTCTTCTCGCAGTGGTTGGGTTTGAATGCAACCCGCGGCACTTTTCATCACCTCTCTCTCTTTATCTTCACCTTTTCTACCGAATAAAGCCAAAAAATAAAGTTATTTTTTTATTTTTTTATTGTGAAGTCCCCATCAGTTGACTAAATGCACTTTCTAAAGGATACAAGAAATATGTGTTAAATCTCTATTCTTCATTGTGTGACTGTAACCCTACATGACATACTGCTAGTTACTTATTCAATCATTTAGGGATGAAAGATGATTCCATATTTTTCTTGATTTGACTAAAACACTATCTAAATACATGTACATTTGAAAGAAATAGGTGTTTAAGTACACTCTTCTTAAAACAGGTGCCAAGGAGGCAGTAGAGTAAAGAAAAAAAAGTACATTCCAGCAAGCTGCTGGACTTGTAAAAGGTAGAATAAAGATGACAAATCAATAATAATGCAATCATCTCAGCAGTATACTCCAAGCATATTCCCTTTTATTCAATTTGTGGCATAAAAAAGAAAGAAAAATTGGACTTGGGTTGCTTTGTGTGCCTGTATGGCTTTTATACAGTGAAGAAGACAACGAGGCAGCCAAAACCCCATAATCAGCGTTTCTTAACAAGTGAAGTGACTTTAAGAGCAAGAAAGAAGCTGGAGTGTCCTCTTTGGGAAACAGCCAATATGGTTTGGTTCTTACATCGAAGCTGCAGGACAGAAGTGAGGATCAGCAGAGGAGAGTCATTCAAACTAAAGAGAGATTTCAAAGTTCATTTTTTTAACTCCCGTGTTGTGGGTTAGAGGGTCTTCATAACATGAATACGGCTTGATTTCCAAATGTATTTCCCATTATATCAGACAATTTCATCTTCTCACATCATTTAGATTATCATTATATATATCCTTTATTTAACCAGGTAAAAGACTCATTGAGATTAAAATCTCTTTTCCAAGAGTGACCTGGCCAAGAAGGGCAGCATTTACAAAGTTACAACAGATAAAACACAGACATGACAGGCAGACAAATACAGCTGTAAAACACAAATAAAATGGCACAATAGCCAGTCAATATGCGAAGTAAAACAAACTATTAAAAATCATTCAAAACTGGCAAAATTTAAAACGATTTTAGGATATACGAGCACTCACATCAACCAATGGTGTCGTGTTCTCTGTCCTTTAAGATGGACCTGAATTCCCCCATAGTGATTAAATCCTCATTAATATTCAATTTTCCAAGCTTATGACCATAATGCAAATTTCCACCCTGCTAAACACACCTGTGATTCCTGGCTGATCAGCTTCCCAGACCACTCACAGGGGAGAATCCATCCCAGGAATCACACACACGCTTACACACCAACTTAGGCAATTCAACACCATCAACATTATCCAGAACACCAGATGCACCACTCAACAATAATTACTCCCACTTGGTGTTGCTTTTCTACAGCCCAACACTTAACCTTGAGCGTCATCTGATCAATAGCTTGTTTTATTGTTCCCAACCCATTGTTTCAACATACAATTCATAGACAAACACGACCTAGAACCCTGAAGCAGGCCATGCAATGTCTGATAACTGCCCATCTGGAAGAAGAGGGCAGTGTAACAGAATAGTAGCAGGATAGTTCCCACTAAAGCCAGTCATTAGAAGGCTGAATTAGTGGTGAAGCCTAATGGAGCTGCACAGGCTGAAGGTAGAGCTTTAGAAATGGCTATCTGCCACAGCTAACTGCTGGTTTCATCAACTTTAGCTGATTTTAATGCCATTTTGGTTTAACATCAAGGTTATTTCGCTGCATATTTAAATGAGACAAAAAGTATTAAAACAGGAGTTGCAGCAAGTTGCCATGGCGTCCAGCAATTTGATGCTGATATTACAGAAAACGAGTGGTGGAATAGTGGTTGTTGGTCTTAATAAGGTGGAACCTGCGTGCACTCTCAGCTGCTGCTCTGCCTAAACCCCAGCGGCTATTACGGCTGTACCAGATGCTATAATCATGGCTGGGTCTGGGCACAGTGGCTAGTGTTCAATTATCAATTTATCCATGGCTGAAACACTTTTATCCTGATGGCTGCTGTGGAGAGGCTGACTGGATGAGAGGTCACCCGGTTCTACATAGTGTTGAAAGAAAAGCTGTGTTTTTGATTGTATTGTCAAAAAAAGTAAACCAATTAACAAAAAAGTGCAAACTTGTAGGTTCAGCAGTCATTGTAAATAGGCTTTAAGTTAATTATAAATACATTTATTGATGTTCACTGTTTCCCGACATTAAAGTATAATGTATTGTTTTACAGGATAACATTGAGTCTGTACGGAAGAAGATTAGGTCCACGTGTAAAACAAAATGGAGAATTTTATTTTAGTTTGGAGAATAAAGTCAAGATCAAAATTCTGTGAGAGAAAAAGTTTTATTATTTTCACATGTGGCCCTAATCCTCGCTTCAGTAGCTGTGATAAATCCTTTGTGCCTTTTTTTTTTTTTTTTAGAGAACAGGGGATAGGAAGAAAATAGGGATAATTGGACTCACGGAAAGCTGTGTAGAACTCGTGCAGGCTGAGGTGTCCGTCGTTGTTGTAGTCGTCGTAACGCAGAAGGTCCTGCATGGTGCACTCAAGCAGGCTGTCCTCCAGGTGCTCCTTCATGGAGATCTAACACACAAAAACACATGGAGAGTTATATTTTAAACGTGAGATGAAAAGAAACGGCAGAAAGACTTGTGGGAAAGCCACATGATAATAGGCTACTATCACACACAGCTATACATTTCTCATACCTTATCAAACCTTTACTTATCGTTTCTCCCATGGGTTCATTATTTTTATTCTACGCTTTCATTCTAATCTACTGGGAGATAGGACCACATTATGCACATTACCTGTGAATGTAAATCTAACATATTTAAAAGGGGGGATACCACAGACATTTAACAATTCAATATACTTCTATTAGGTTAGCTGGGCTTTTTTTTTAATGAATATGAACATCTGCACTCACACCTGGAGTTCGGAAGAAAAATTATACATTGCATTTAAATTCCAGCCCCCGCTGACTTATTACAAATGAAACAAGAGAAGTAAGTATGAAGACAAACCAAGGCTGACTGGTCAAATCTGGATTGGACTGTTTCAGTGATTTTGAGTTTGGGGAATTACAATTTTGGTGACTGAAGCAGCACTTGATGCTTCATTCAAGTGCTACTTCATTTCAGTCAAGTTATGCTTCTGATGCTTCTGATGTGTTTGTATATGTTCTAAGTAATCACAAAGAACTCAGAAATAAATATATGACTATATGAATAACTAGTATTATGAGTTTGCAAATCAATCACGTGTAATGAATCATAACGAACAGGTACAGTAGCAACAGAAACAATTGGAGGACTTGGAACAGGTTTCACAATCAACAGATGGATAAAACTACATTTGCATGCATTCTGTCTTTACCGTACGAGTTTCTGTTGAGTTATTATCTAAATGGAAGTTTTGCTGCTATATTCAGCACAGCCTCCTATTGAAAGCTTTTAAATGTTGCTGTTCCAAGTGCTACAAGAAGTGGCAATTTGGCTTTCCAGCAGAAGCAATAGTGATTTCAAATGAGTTGCCTGCCTGAATACATTTAGCATTATAAGTAGTGCTCAGAGTGAATATTGTATTCCACCCACAATTAGAATTAGATTTCAATCAGACAGAAAATGCCTCATGAACATAATCACCAGAAAAACTGAAAGTGACTCACTCTGAGTGTGATTTATTTTTGTGAAAATGGAATGGCTAAAATATATAATTAGTCTTGTAAGTGCTGTTTCTGATTGTTTTCCATTTTAGGAAAATCTCCACTCTTACTGTTCATGCTTGTGCACACTGCACCTGACTTAATTTGCAGATGTTCCCCTGGGAAGAAGCACCACTCACTCCTCTGTTGTTTGTCATTTACGAGCCCTCTCTTCCATTTTAGCGTTGTGCCTTCCTCAAGGGAACCATCTTTGAATAGGTAGTGTTAAGCAGTTTTAGGGAGATGAACAGAAGGCTGAGCTTCTGCTCAATAACTCTAGCAGCAGTAAATTGTGTTAATGCTGCTGCTTTTGTAAAAAGGAATAGCTTTAACTAATAAAAGTGAAAAATGCTGAAAGCAGGTCCATCTTTGTCAAGTTAAAGTCCTTATGTATAAACAAGACACAATGTACTATCATTTCTTCTAAGCCCCCATAACTTTTTACATAAAATTTAATTTAGCTGATGTTTTTTTCATCTAACGCTACTTACAATGGATGCATTCAACCATGAAGACAAACCCAAAATAGCAAGAATCCTGCAAGTACATTAGCTTTCGATAAGCTAAACCTTTGTAAGTGCTACATTCAAAAATGAAAATTATATTTTTTGCAACCAAACGTGGGTTTTTAGTCGAGGAAAATATGTGTAGACCTTCTGCAGTCCTGATATCAATGGGGAGCTCGTTCTACCATTTAAGAGCCAGAATAGCAAACAGGCAATTTTTAGGGGTACCTGGGTCCCACTTTAGATGAAAGTAGGAAGAGCCTTATCGATTCATTTTTGTGGTTTCAAAGCTGAAAATTACTGTTTCATAGTCAAAAGGGTCCTGGCTACACTTAAAAATAAACAGTTAATGAATAAACAGTATACAGTAAACTCTACTAGCTAAACCTCTCACTTTTCAATCACATTTAATCTGCTTTTAGAAACCCCAAATACTACTTCTTAAACATCAAAATATGGTTAAAGCTGGGTGGAGCAATGGAGGAAAAATGTGTACGATGACGATGTCAAATACAAAACTAACAGCCACAGCCTCCCTATTAACCAACAATAAGGCACTTTTCATTGTATATATTAATATTCTTTAATTAGGATGTTTTAAGGGAAGTCATTCTAACAAGACTATAACTACGTAGTGTAAGTTCAATGTTTAATTCTCTCTGCAATGATTTCAAAGCCTAAAAATACAGCCTCTGAGCTTACATATTTCCTCCAATTGATTTTGTATGGCGCTGCACATGTGACATGGCAGATTAAGGGATGCGACAAACTGTTTATATCCTTGATGCCTTCAGCAGACTGCAGCCATGTGTTCCCTGACACAAACTGATCTGTCCTTAGGCATTGAAGTAAAAACATTTCCAAACCAAAGTACAGAACTTTACTCTCCAAGACTCTATTGATAAAAGATGGATGTGAACATGGAGACAGTTTGGATGGATGACTGGAATTCATCTTTGAATTGCTTTGGTCTTTAAAAGCATTATCTCTGTGAAAACGCATTTATGAATTCCTGCAGGATAAGAATGTCTTATCTAAAGACTTCCTGGCCACATCTCAGCATTAGTAATTGCCAGCTGTGATTGATCAAAATCATTTGATGGATCTTTTAGTGCAGCTCTGTCAAAGAGAGATTTTATTATTTATATATGCCGCTGGAACTAGGCCAAAGAAGTTACATAATCTTTTTAATCTACATGCGGACAAAGTGTGTTGTCATTCACATCTGCAGAGAGATGACAAAATTTGAAACATTGTGGCATTTATGAGACTACATTTAGTGGCGCTTATTAATCTTGAGCTGCCTGTTTTTTCTTTTGTATCATATAGCCACTGCTTTAAATGCTCACATAAGTAGAAAGAGCTTTTGAAACACTTGTAATGTTTTTAGATTGTAAAGCCTTTGAAAATTCACTCATACAACTGCATTCAGAAGTGACTCTACAATGGTTGACTGCATTCTGGCAGAAGTTACTGAGATCACAACATTGGTTCAAAGAAGTCTAATTAACATCTATCTCTGATGCCCATTTCCTGATACCAGATGATGCCCACAATAATTTAATTTCCTCACTCGGCAAGTGTGAATGCCAATCCATTTTACAGTTCCACCCTCAGATCCTGGTGGTGAGATAACCTCAATTAAAGAGGATTCAATGGAATCTAAAAGGAAACTTTAAACTGTTAACGTTAGCTGCTAGCTTTGTTATTTAGCCAATCAAGAGAGTTCTGCCCGCCAGCTGTTAACAGCTGACATAAAATAGTTTTTGTCCTGCCAATTTCAACACAGATTTGAGATTCAAAATGTAGCATTATCAGGATTATCAATAGTGACTTTACTGCATCTTATCAGATTTTAACGCGTCTCTGGGTACCATAGTTTAGCTAATAGTAATAATTCTGGTAGGGAGACACACACATGAGAAAATATCTGATCAACTGTTTTTTTAATGTGTTCAGATATAGGTTAACATTTCAATGTAGAGAACTTAATTCAAATAATAACCAATTCTTAAAAAATGATGGTGATCCCTAAACCGCAAATGTCTTTAATCTGTTGTTTGCTGTCAACACAAGGTCTCTTAGAGAACAAACTAAGGTTCAGAAAAAAATAAATGTACAAAATAATATCTTAAACATTCATTTGTCAATCCATACAGCTATCCTTTTAATATTGGATCAACTAATCATTCAGCTTGATACCAACCTTTTCCAGCTCCCCACTGACCAGCCGGCCGTCCTGGTCCACATCCAGGTATTTGAACATGGTGTCCACCCGTGCTCTCTTCTCTTCCATGTCTCTCTGCTGGCTCTTCCCTCCATTTTTCAGCCCTTTTGGTTGCATATCCAGCAGCATGCTTTTCAGCCTGTTGTACTCCGACATGGTGCATGCGTTGCCTGCAAGAGGAAACACACAGATATGGAAGAAAACACATTTGATTAACCTCAATTATACAAGCCAAAGCCTTTTTATCGTAGCTGTAAATTGGATTTAATGTGTTTGTGTGTTTTATAGAGGGAGGAGAGGAAAAGAGGGATACATAATTTGTATACGCATGTGCGAGTGTGTCTTTCCTTAAGTGTTTACTCATCCAATTAATTACAAGTAATCCTAGAATCCACAACAAACAAAAGGTAAACACCCTCATTTAGACCCTTTCAAGCTTCTTGTTCCCCTTTGCTATGGGATTAAAGCTCATGTTTCAAACCAAACTGGGCGTCTCGCTCCTGATTTGCTGCAAGGCTTTGCCTGATGATGCACTCAGCATTTTTTCATCACACTGTAATAAATAATTATGCGAAACACGTCTGTGCCATGCTGTGAGGGACTTGATCATGATGGAGAGCAGGGAAGCCGGTTTTCCTTTTCTTTTGTATCACGTCGCTCATTCAATTTATTATCGACTGAACCTGATGACAGCATCAGAGGCGTTTGCGGGAGGGTGGGAGGGAGCAAGACCTACGTGCAAGTCTGAAGCGTGGTGTTGAGAGAACAAAATGTGAAAATAACTCTCTCGTATGAATAAATCATTAAGTGATGTCCCTGCCCGATCACGGCAGAGTAGGAGACCACCCTCTGAGAGTACACAGGAAGGGAGCTCATTGCCTAATCTCCTCCGACAACGCAGCAACTATCAAAGCTAACAAATGCAGAATGGGGGAACAAGATAGACCTAAAATAAAGACTCTTAAAGTTTAGTCGCAGCATCTCCTTTTTGTTCCAAATCCATAGCCATGGGGAGTGCTGCCAAAGCACTTCTACGTTTGTTAGCACAACTGTCACTGTGGGGAAGTCAACACGGGTTCAACAAGGCTACAGCAGAAAGGCAATATCTCCCGCTGTGATACTTTATGTTAAAGTGCTGTGCATATTAAAAATACACATATGTTCATGCTTATGCATAAGAACAAGCATACACACACACACACACACACACACACACACACACACACACACACACACACACACACACACACACACACACACACACACACACACACACACACACACACACACACACACACACACACACACACACACGCACACACGCACGCACGCACGCACACGCACACACGCACGCACGCACGCACGCACACACACACACACACACACACACACACACACACACACACACACACACACACACACACACACACACACACACACACACACACACACACACACACACACACACACATGTGTGTGACTTGGCTTTATTACACTTACATTTATGAACTGACTAAAGCCTAAAGTGAAAATAATAAAACCTAAGACAGAGAAAGAAAGTGGTGTGTCTGAACAGCTTGAGATGTTAAGATAGGTCCCACATTAAAGACAAACTCAACTTAAAGCAACATAAAGCTTTAATGAACCTTAACATGAGTGTGATTATTCCCTTACATTGACTAAGTGGTAGTTATTCTCTTATTTTCTTGCTTCATAAAGATATGTAAAGCAATTTTTAGGTTGTTCGAAAAACAACCTTTGGGCCTTCCCTCCTTTGGTGAATTACTAGGAGCGAGCGACAGCATTTATGAAAAAAAGCGTGTGGGGTGTTGTTCTTGGTGGTGGAGATCAACACAGAAAAACAGCATCTAATGTAAAGGGAGTCATCAATCCAATAAATCTCAGTTTTCTGTTCTTTATTTCAGGGAGGATTGCAGGATGTTCAACCTTAATTCACACAAAAACACTATTTAAAAAAAAACAAAGAAACCAAAGCACAATGAACCACACATAGGTCTCAACACTGGCTATTGTTCTAATTACTACAACACAAAGACACATCCCCACAGCAAAGCCAATGCGCACTCCTCTCTACAGGCTGGCAGTCAAGTCAAGGTCTTGGCTAAATCCTTGTTCAATGTTATTTCTGCGGGGGAAATGAGGCGTGAGGTGGATCAGACATGAGGGATCATCACCTAACTGTCATCCCTGTCCCTGCTCTAGGAGGATAGAAACAAATTAACACCCACACACTGATTAACATCATGAGGAGAAAACTCTCCGCTCTGTGTTCAGACATACAGTACTTTGAATAGATGTCATGATTTTTTTTTTAAATAGGCAATTTTTATTTAAAATAAAGGAAATTATGAAGGCCCCATAAAGACTGCAAGAGGACTCGTGTTGCTGCACTGACAGCCAAAACTATTTAAATAAAATGTATATTATTGTATAATTTGGTGTGATGAAAGACTAGATATTGTCTAATATTTCAGATATTGTAAGTGTTTTTCCTGCTTTTCAAGATAAAGTGACATCATTTTGAAGTTAATACAGTATGTCCACATTATATGACATGGAAAACCGCCTCATCCAAAAATACTTTTCTCAATACCGCCCAGCCATAGATTAAAGGTGGGGTAGGTAAATTTGAGAAACCGGCTCGAGATACACTTTTTGTTATATTCCATGGAATGCTCTTAACATCCCGATAGCAATGAATATCTTAAGTGCTTTGACAAAAAATCCATTAAAAAAATTGTCATCTTTGGAAGCTGTAGTACTGTAAAAAGCACGACCAATCATTTTAGCCGGCCGGCTGAAATAACTAGATGGCCTACCTGCCTGTCAGCCTTCCATCTGTGCACAAACTTATCTCGTGCCCTCATTGGTCATGTGCGCGTTCGTGTGTGTTGGAGGAGGGGCTCTGTAAGGAAGTGGCAGATTTGTTCCGGCTGTGTATTTTCAAATTCTAGCGCACTCGAGCAGATTTCTCCAAAATTACATACCCCACCTTTAACGTAATCATTACTTTAATAACCTCCTTATTCCTGCGGTTACACCTGCTATCCTCTGGTCATGGTTAGAAGGTGAATGTTACACCTGGATGTTACATTGAATCACGCTCACCGCTGCTGTGAACATCCTTTGATTCAGTCTATCTCATAGTGCTGAGCGCAGCAGCTGCAGCAGTGGCAGAGAAATATATGTCTGTATTACAGTGCATCCACCCCTGACTCTAACACTGTTTTATTGTTCTAAAGGGACCAGAACTCTCTTTATTGCCCGTTTGAAATGTTAGCTGTTTAAGTGAGTGATCCGAAGCTGCTCGCACCATGGACACCCAATGTCCCGGAGACAGAGCTCCTCACCGCTGCTCAGAGCCTCCTCCAAGCTCACACTTTATAAATGTCAGGCGGGGGGGAAACAAACAGAGGGAGGAAGAACCGGAGAAGAAAGTCCCTGATATGCTGAGGGGAGGGAGTGTAAGAGAGGACAGAAAGTAATGGACATTTAAAGGGCTAAAATCTCTCCAATTTAAAACACATGACATAACAAATCGTGGGGGATGTGTGTGTCCTGTTAGCTGGACTTTTCTATATGAAATATACCAACACTTAAATCAGTAGCTTTTCAAATAGTGTAAGGATTAATTCCTCCATATTTTCCTGCATGTTCATAGAGGTCGATTTTAATGCAAGATCTTGTTCACTCTACAATATAAGCAGGAAATACAACAAAACATGTTTTATTTTATTTTTGAGTAAATCTAAAAAAAATTGATTGTGAGTTTTCAAATGCATGTAAGGGTCAGAATATTTTATGTTTTCAAACCAATGCATAGGCTTCTAAACATGGTGTGAAACATTTTCCTAACTGGCAATCATCCTGGTCTGATTGGAAAAAGGCATTTCCTAATAGCAGAGCACGACCTGTTGTCAGAAAGGCTCAGAAACTGATTTGATGTTGGTCTGCGGTAAATTGTTGCTCCAGAACAGCTTCTTCAGAATTCCATTGGATCCACTTCGATTCAGATGTGTATGAATCAAAAACGCTGTACTTATTGGATGAGATCTTGGCTCTGGCTAAAAGATGGAGGGATGGAAAAGGGAATCTAAGGCATCAATCCTTCAGATGATGAAACCTCTCTGCCCTACAGGATGTTAAAGTGCTCAGTGTTACATTTATGTCTGCCTGACCTCCTCTGGCTGAAATGAAGGGATTATTTACTGCCATGCCGTGTGTGTGCTGCTAATATGTGATGGTGATGGACCTCCCTTCCAGATAATTATGAATATGATGGACACTCTTTGCTCCTGAGTGCGGCAAGGTCTAAGAGAGTTAGCCAATCTCTGTAGGGTGACACAAGTCACAGGAGAGCCTCGTATTGTATAATAACTGTTGGCAGCTGTTGAAATCGGCTTACTAGCTTCATAGTCTATCCAGACTTTCCTCTGAGACAAGACACTACAACCTTTAACTTGTTTCTATTTCAATATCCTTCAAACTGTATATATTAGAATGTTTAAGTGGTAAGGAACTGTACTTATTTCGAAAGTCTCTTGTATGAGAAAAGACAGCTTGTTGGCAGTAGGTTAAAGGTTAATGAAATCACATCACCCTTCAATATTAACAGGGAATGGGTGACATTTCAATTAATGCTGAAACAATTAGTCTATTGAGAGAAAATTGGCAACAACTTTGACGATTGATTAACTGCTTAAGTGATTTATAAAGCAGAAATTCACCTACATTCCACACACATTTACCACTTGAAGCTGCACAAGGGTGACACATGTCATGCTTTACAAAAAGTTGAAGTAGTAAAATTGTTTTTGCCTTGTTTTGAAGGTGAATTGTTATAGAACTTAGCACGGTGATACATAGCACTTATTGCTATTGATCACTTAATGACTGCATATCCTGTTGCAGTTTCACTATAACTTTTCTGATGTGAATAAGCAGCAGTAGTAACTTAACAGAGTTTTGATAGGATTGCAATACTCTTTCAAGGAAATGGGAGGCTTCTACCAGTAATATAATAATAAACAGTAACCCAAGCATGGTGGCTGCGCAGGAAATACATACTCTACCAACAATTAGAGACACTTAAAGGTGGGGTATGTAATTTATTTCAGAAACTCTTTTTGTTATATTCCATGGAATGCTCTTAACATCCCGATAGCAATGAATATATTAAATGCTTTGACAAAAAATACATAAACAAATTCATCTGTGGAAGCCGTAGTACTGTAAAAAGCACGACCAATCATTTTAGCCGGCCCATAAAAATAATCTGTGCACAAACTTATCTGGTGCCCTCATTGGTC